GCTAAATCTGTAGTTGTTGCTTTGTTTAAACTTATAGAGTCGTCTTAGAAAATAAGAAGAAGAGGCGGGACAAGGAAATTCTCTCTACAAACACGTGGAAGCTAGCAGAGGAGAGAGGGATAGTGAAACAGAAGATGAACCAATTCAAAGATGGACAACGAACGGAGAGGCTGAGTTCAGTCTACAACACACTGAATACAGAAGTGAGTAAGGGTGCTAGAAAATGCAAAAGTCAGTTCTACGACACAATGGTAATTGAAGCAGAACAGGAAGCAGGTAGGAAGGACCTCAGATCACTATATCAGATAACCAGGTCAATGTCCGGGAGGAGATCAACGCGGACAGAACCAATGAAAGGCAGTGAAGTGAACCTAATTACCAAAGAGGAGAAGCAATGGGAACTATGGGTTGATCACTTCAAAGGGTTCTTGGACCAACCACCACCTGCGACTCATCCACTAGTACCACCAGCATCGTCAGCAACTACAAAACTGCCAGTGGACACCGATCCTCTGACAAAGGCAGGAGTCTTGAATGCTGTCAAGTTACTGAAAGTAACCCAGAAGGCATCGAGAACACACTGAATCCACTCAGAAGCACTAGAAACAGACCCTGAGACCTCAGTGGATATGCTCACGTCAATATTGTAGAAGGTTTGGAAGGAAATGAAGGTACTCACCGATTGGAAGAAGGGCTAACTCCTCAAAATACCAAAGAAGGGAGAATCGAGCCTCTGGGAGAACTGGCGTGCAATCATTCCCCTCTCCACGATAAGTAAAGAATTAGGCCACATCATCAAACTCATTCAACACGTATATGTCTATGCCACTCGTCAACTTGTTCACAACGGAAATCTCGACGAAGCAGTTGACGTGAAGACAAGAGTGTGATATAACCACCTACGGTTCCCGATGATATTCCTGATTATGCTGGACTGGATCATGCGACAAACAATGGAAAGCGAGTAGACAGGCATACATTCAATCGACGAGAAGACTCTGGGAGATCTGGACTTCACCGCTGATTCAGATTTCAGCAGCATCATTGCAGTTACAGGTGGCACAGATGCGGAATTTAAAGCCAGCCAGGATCGGAATGACAAGACAGACATTCATTTCTCTAATATCAGCTTGCAGATCTTCAGCATATATTACAAGCAAGAGAAGTGGAATTTTCAAGACTAATGTCAAGTCATTGCTTCTGTAGGGTTCCGAGATTGATCTCGCGCTACACCAATAACATTTCCAACAGCCTGCTGCAGACTTTCATCAATCACTGTTTTTGCCTGATTGTGATGATCAGTCAGCCGGTTGACTAGAGAGGATGAGTAATATGCAACTCTGACAGATGGCGAATCAGTCAACAACTTACTGACCAACAGATTTACACAAGAGAATGCAGGTGGACTCGACATACTCAGTGGAGACAGATGAATAATAAAAGGCCGCGAATCACAGCTCCAGTGGAGCCCAGATAAGACTGGAAACAACGAGTTGGGCGTTCGAGAGTGATATGGAGGCAACCGTGTGAGAAGGAGATGAAAGCTGTGAGTAATCGTGGGGTCCGCCACGAGGAACTGCAGTGAGCGGGATGAGGTGGAGATGTCCTGGTGAGACGCTAAATTCCACTGGGAACCCAAGGGTAGAATAATAATTACCATGTGACTGTGAATATTCCGTCTGTTATCCACACTTATCCAATGAGATAATAGAAACCTCGAATGGACATTTGAGAACCAGCTGGTCATAATAACAATTTCATCCTAGAAGAAATCAGAAAAGATTCCATTTCTTTCATAAACGCTTGTTGATTGTGAATACAAGTCGCAGGATGATTTCACTAGTCTTCAGCCACCACTCTACATCTACTAGTTATATTCTAAAAACACACTAGCCACACTCCTGAAATGCAAATCCTGTCAGGCGTTCCATCTTTGTATGATTCAGTGACGAAAGCTAAAGCGCTACTGATGTCGGTGATTGAATGTACAAATCAAGTAAATTAGCTAGGCTACCCAGTCGTCGTCGTGTATTTCTGTAAATTGTATTTAAAAAAACACGGAACGACTGCTGGAATATATCAGGTAAACTAATCTTCCGAACCTCGACGAAGTTCTTGCACCATATCTGTTTGGAAAAGAATAATCTCTTATCACAGAGTACAAAGCAGTGCATTCAGTTCCACTTCCACTCATCATAGTGTCATGCTTTCAAACAATTTGCTAGAAATCAGAAAATCAAACAGAATTGTGGCGAAAGTAATACACACATCACTGATTAGGAAAGCGAAATAATATCAAATCATTGAATTTCATATCAATATAAACATACGTTTCATTCCTACAAGTAACGTCGTCATTTAACAAGTTAGAAAATATATAAATCACCGGAATATGGTTTCACTGAATGTCATTTCCTAAACCAACGAAGCCTTAGAAAAAGTATTCAACAATGATGAGGGAGATGATGAACAACACCTCGAAACGTCGACAGTGTTCACGTGTCACGTAAACTTCATATACTTGGTAGGTGTGAAGTCAATGTAACTTTGAACAAGTGAGACATTCAACACACATATTTCAGTCTTCGTTTCGACTTGTAATTGTGGTTGGTTCATAACATCAATACCATATGCACAATATAATGCGAAGTTTCGTTTTGTAGCAGACCTAATCGTTCAGACATCATGAACACTGAAGAGGCAGGATAACTCATCAGTTAAATTATCCTCCTCTGACGTCGTGCACACTGCTTGTACTCTCAACGTCATTTCAGCTGTAAAGGTTCATGATGAATGGTGTAGCCGGTCTAGGAGTATTTGAAGAATTCACCAGTCTCAGTGGAATGCTTCTTCTGGTTAATCCTCACAGCTGTCAAATGACCGCCTGATGAATGTGCTCTTGTTCTCAGCGAACACTGGCACATTCTATTCTCTATGCATTGAGATTTTAAATGATTAACTCTTTCACACTTGCCTCTCATTCTAGCTATCAAGTTTCTAACTCATATCATATTCTCTACTCTTGTCATAAAAATAACTCTTATTGTTTCTACGCGTCTAACATTCGCCTGTTTCTTCACACATACACTCTCACCGATCTACTTATTCGATGCTAGTGGGTTCGTTGAGAAAATGATTCCGACCAGGTGAATACCAAGTACCCATGTCTGTACCACATACAACAACTTGCACTTCTCCTCCACGTTTGTTAGTAGTTATAAACATATATATATATCCGGAAGAATGGCGACTGGACACTTTATCTGCTCAACAGAGATTCCAGAAGTTTATTCAAAATGTTTGGTTATTGATGTTTTTCATGAAAATTATCTTGCTCATGAAATAGGATGTTCAACACTTACGTCGTTGCTCCATTCCTTCAAGATAATTCCATTTCCAAAAGTAAATGGTGTATTAGTACAACAAAATAACGTCGCAAACGAAGTAATAGAAATGAATAAATATTCATGATAATCGTGAATTCTAGTTATCAGAGAGCAATCAAGTAGCAGAATAAACACAAGTTGATTAACACCTGGTTGAGTGATGTTTTATCTGATTACTGATCTTATTCTTTCTACACCCCTCTGACACTTATGCATTTCATGAATTTTTTTATAAAGAGGGTGACCAATCATCTCCGATCACAATACACATTATCAACAAACATGAAATGATATATTCACGACTGTACAACTTGATAATAAATCATTTGAGAACAGATTTTTCTCTGAATCACTTCCTTTGATTTTCTAAACACAGTTTTGTCATAAAGTGTCTATGAGTAATACAGAGTTATATGGTGGCTCCGAATCCCACCACAATCATTCCGAACGGAGACGAATACCACCCGCAAGCCGATTTAAACCCACAGCTGAGTGACTGGGGACAATCTGTCATCAGGTGGATGGAAACGCAGTGGCTTTTAAATGCATGCGCGTCGCCAGTAGGACAGTGCATTGGCACAACTGTCGTAGAACTCCACATTGAATACAGGAAATGTACGAAAAATACGTAAATAACACCAAAGTCATTTACAATGAACACTTGGCAATCCATATCTGCATATACACCCGTAGCATGGACTGACACTCATTCAGTTTCAGTAAATGTGAATAAAAAATATGGAAATAATGACTAATCGTTCAAAGTCCACTCAATTGAATGCGCCCTTCTTCACCTCCACTCGACAGTGACATTTTACGATGTCCATTAAAAGCATACACACCATGGTTTACGAAAATACTCACCGTTGTCCTTGTCTTGTAAAAGTGAAACATTGGTTGAGATACGCAATTAGAATTGGTTCAACACGACGTTTATAGGAAAGCGTGTGGATTCTATAAATTTGTGTGACTTGGATCACTAAAGCCAGAACTGTTACTAATTCTTGCCCGTCATCTCATTCCCATGAAATCTCAATTCTGAAACACAATCGAAATAATCCAGTACAATTGCCCTGATCTTCAAAATGGTTTCAGATTTCTATCACTGATCGACAAGTCGACAATCGTGGTGTGCACAAAATAAAAGCTCCGTTGGAATTAAAACAGTGCTGATTAATATGTTCCATCAACAGCTGAAATTTCAACGTAGATCATCAGAATCAGACTACTAATCAGGCACAATTCAACCTGTAATCTGAATATGGAGCTGAGAACACCACTGAAAATTCGTCTGTGAGATTAGGTGGCTAACTCAGCCAATGTGTAGGTTAGGTATGCTGAAACCTCGAATAGTAGTCCGAACGAGTGAACATCAGTTTAATTCGACAAAATTGGGAACTTCCTTGTCCCAATTGACTCATCGCATATTCCGTTCTCCTTCGAGTGCGTGAACTACCGCGCTTCAGGCGCATAATAAAATGCCACTCTCTATCCATATTCACGAAGATATCTGGAAATCGAATATGTTTGATGAAGTAGAGGGTGGTAGAAAATGTGAAATATGTGAACAACAGGATGTACAGGTAGTTATCACTTTCAATTATTTCAGCTTACCTTTTGCATATGGAACATCTTGGTGAGGATATACAAATATCCATTAGATAATTTACATGACGAGTGATAGACGTTATATACAGAGTAAGTCTTAATGGTGCAAGGAACACTACGTTTCGACACTTGTGTATGGTGTTTGTTCAGTCTCTTATTCTAGCATGATCCTCCTCTCATTTCTACTTGTACGCTTCTACTTTTGCCAACTAGTCAACCATCATCACTCTCACTTCTCCCTTATGTGCATCTTATCAAGTTATCCTACTCACCTTCTTCGCACTTTCTCAATGACCATTCAATCACTTTGATTCTCATCTAATAACAACTTCTCACTTTATCAAATTTCAAAATACCATTCCCATTGTGTCGGTAGTTGTAGAACGATTTCTCTACACCTGTAGAAACCACGTCCTAGTTACTGTAATTATCACGCTTTCCAACTAATTACTTAAAAGTAGACTCGTATTAGTTTTATTAAATGTAAATACAACTGTACAACTTTTGCAGATGACTTCATCAATAGAGAAAACATTCCTCTATTCACTTTTCTTCTGTTTACGTCGAAGCACACTGATTCATTTTGTGATCGCCTCAGAAATTGAAACAGTAGTGATGAGTGAGAAAAAAACTTCTGGCTGGTAAGTCACATCAGTATCTCCATCCTCAACAACTCGCAGATACCAATCGATATGGGTTTATAAACGCTGACATGAAAATTCTACTGTAAAACACTGATATGCATCTGTCTGGTTCCTATGAACACATTGAATGCCAACTGTATGCCGATATGACCGTAAGCGTGTAATCGACCATATGAAACAGTGCATAGCACAACTGGCGCTCATCATGATGCATCTGAGATGTAATCATTCAGCCTCCTGTTCAGCTGTTTCTATCCAGTAACATCGATCTCCTTTCCCACAAGGCTGGACACAATATATATGATATCTCAAACAGAAAGCAGTTGTGTCTCGAATCAAGTACAATGTGTCTGTTGAACACATTACTCAATGTGGACGTCTGTCAGTCTACATTGAAATTTCTCTGTCATCGGACTCCACTGTTTTGAGTACGTTAAACGCGATCAATTTAATTGTAAACTTACGTTGAGAGTTTTTGACACCTGTGAAGAAATTGTAAATAAATATCCTCAGTGCACTGTACATGTCGAGTTGATTCTATGAAAGGCTACAGGTTGATTGGCATAGGGTTCAATATCAGTTACTCTCGTTCTCCTGGAACGATTTAGCAGAGTTGAACCGCCAGTGGAATTGGCCAAATTTGGTGGCACACTCATACTCAGTAAATACAACAAAGCTGTCAGACTATATAACAGAATAATTTTGTTCGATGTAACACACAACAACGCAGCATTTGTTGCCGTCTAATGACCTGCTGGGTGCAATTTAGTGCTCATAATCATATCAATGTCTCCTCTCTACGGAATTATATTCTATAGGAGTGTCGAATTCCCATGTGTATATCAAGAGTGTTGGACGAGTTTCCTAAATGGATTAACAGTGTCTGTGGATACACCATGTGGTTTCACTCACCAGTCGGACGATGCGTTGATGCAGCTGCTGTGCACATAGAATTCTACACTTTAGAAACGACAAGAGGCATATGAAATTCCTCCCTTTTTCAAAAGCTACGCCTCACCCAGTCATATGATGGTTGAGCTAACCTTGCATCATTCTACGTCGTTTTTAGTGAGATGTACGATAATATGTATTATGGAGTTAATCGGCTATAAACAGTCTCCATCAGTTTTGCAGTTCCATCCGAACACAATGATTGTGAACGGTTGTATCCTCTCCTCAGGTAGTGTTCAACTGGCCTGAGAGAGTTCCTACAAAAACGGAGATTGGATCAAGCTGGTCTACAGCTAGACGACAAATGCCATGTCACCAACACTTCCATCAGTAGTCAACTATCCTAATTCACTTTTGACTTGAGTATTTTCGAATGTTGCTGACGACTGAACACACACTTATCCTGCTACATACATGAGACAAGAAGCAGTACATTCACCTGAGTATGTTACAACTGAGCAGCGATACTAGTGAAGGAGAGAGAGACTGTCTTCATTTGCATCACTTTGACGGACCACTTTCAATGTGATTGAACAATGGTTGTATTTGGAGTCGAAATGATCATCAGAAATAAATTTCCTGATCAACGGTTTCCAGTGGTGACATTCCTTGAATATTCATTTATACTAGGTATCGCATATACGGTGTTAGATATTCTTTAGATACTCTATATTAATGGTTATGCTTGTTTTCGACTGACTCACCACCAGGGAATTCATCTGATTGAGAAGGAAAAAACAACCACATAACTATTAAATTCTGAAAAGATAATACTACCTCTGTTAATGATGAAAGAAACGGTGGGTTTAGTCATTGTCAAAGCCGCTTGATGACACGTCACATCCAGTTTACTGTTCTGACAGGCGATTCAACATCTAGTCATCATTATCAACGGATTCGTGTCGTTAATTCAGTCTTCTCTCTCTTTGCTGCTAAAATTCACAATGACAGTTCTGTGTGAACAATCGATACTGAAGTGCATGTTGTATGATTTCAGCGCCGTGTCATCAGGAAGGCAGGAAACATTAACTCGGCTAAAAATCATCAACAAACTATCCCCTAACTTCAAATCACTTAGCATTTCATGTTTGTTGCAGACAACGGTATGGAGTGCCTCGAGTAAGTTGATTTGGGGGCATACTACGGAATCGGGTGATAACTGGCTGATAGTCTTCAGACTTCTGTTTGAACATCTTCAAATTACCTGTTTCACAATTTATCATAATGCTTGGCTTGAAAGACTGCTCACATTGCGAAAGAGATGAGAGAACACTGTACAGAAGCGTTGTGAATCTGTGAGAGCAGATGGAATGGAAACTGAATCTCCAAACTGTCAAATGGAGAGTCAATAATCTACTCCAACCAACCGGATGACTACCACGAACACATTGACGGATTGGTCATCATGATATCATCAGCGACCTCTTAGGCTCCTATGCAGTGGGAGGTAATCTCCTCCGGAAGAATGGCAGCGAGATTCAACTCAAAGGGTAGGGAAGTTACAACTATCCAATGCTTTTCTCCTGAAAACGACGCAGACCGAGTGGGGAAGATCCAAGACTTCTGCATGCAACTGCCAACAGTAAGGCCAATATCCTAGACAGATGGTGATATCAGCATGCGAATGGATGATATGGATGCCAAACTGTGAGCTGATGAGACAGGAGAAGAAGGAATCATGAGTCAAGAGGTTCTCGGAGAAATCAATGAGGACAGAGAACTCAGAATTGTGCGCCCTGTCTGACTTGATGATTGTAGCCAACGCGTGAATGCACAAGTGTATACACAAGACAACATGGCTTTCACTAGACGCACAGACAAAACATTGGTCAGATTTCATCTCAATCTCAAGAATGTGACGACCCATTCTAATGGACACAAAATCGAGAAGGGGAGCAGATGTGTGCTCAGACCACTACCTGGTATTAGGAACCGTCAAGGTCAAGTTGGAAGCCTTGAAAGAAGCTGGTGGTAGACATCGATTCAAGTCCAACACACAGATACTGGAAGAGGAAACTAAAACAGACACGTTTACCGCAATCATAAGGGAAAAGCTTCAGACATTGAGGGAAATCACCAAAGAAACCTGTTTGGAAGGACACTGGAACTCTCCGAAAGTGATGCTGAAGGAGACCTGTAGAATCGTCTAAGGAAGGAATAAGATGTGGGACAAGACATGTCTCTCCACGAACACTTGGAAGTTGACAGAGGCGAAAGGGATAGTGAAACAAAAGAGGAAACAGTGCGAAGACGGACAATAAACTCAGAGACTGAGTTCCATATGCAATGCACTGAACACAGGAGTGATGAATAGTGCTGGGAAAGACAAGAGACAATTCTAAGACACACTGGAAGTTGAAGCAGGACAGGCTGCAGGTAGGACGGACTTCAAAACGCTATATTAGGTAACCATGTCACTATCTGGAGGAGATCGATGCAGATGAAACCAATGAAAGACAGTTAAGGAAGCCTAATTACCAAGGAAGAGAAGTAAAGCAAAGCATCGGCTGATCACTCCAAAGGATTCTTGGATCGATCGCCAGCTGCGACACGTCCAGAAACACCATCAGCATCAGCAGCAACCACAGAACTGCCAGTGGACACCGATCATCCGACAAAAGCAGAAATATTGGATGCCATCCAGTTACTGAAAGCCTCCGAGAAGGCAGTGGGGGCAGACTGAATTCACCCGAAAGCACTAAGAAGAGACTCCGAGATCTCAGTGCTTATCTTCGCGCCACCATTGTAGGAATTTTGCAGGGAAGTAAAGGTGCTTACCGACTGGGAGAAGGTCTGCCTTGTCAAACTGTCAAACAAGCGTGACTTAGGTATTTGGGAGAACGGGTGAGGAGTCAGTCTCCTGTCCACTATAAGAAAGTCATCAGGCCGTATCATCCAGTAGAGACTGAAACATGCTCTGCACGCTAAAATCCTCTCCGAACAGACTGTATTCAGGAAAAGTAAATAATGCACGGACTGAATTGTAACGCTTCGTACCATAATCGAACAGAGCATATAGTGGCATCCAACTCTGTACCTCAATTTAATCAAAGCTGAAAAGGACTTAGATGGCGTTGACTGTGAAGCCAGCTGGAAACTGCTTCAACACTACAACAATGCTTCAAAGCTTTATAGGACTTGTTCATCAGGTATGTGTCAATCCCACATGTCGAGTGGTATACAACGGAAATCTCAGCTAAGTCTTTGATGCGAAGACAATAGTAAGACATGCCTACCTGTGAGTACCGCTGATATTCCTGATCATGGTGGACTGGATCATGCAACAGACCGTGGGAAGCGAGAAGATAGGCAGAGGTTCCATCAACGAGAAAACTCTAGAAGCTCTAGAGTTGGCAGTTGATTCAGACTTTCACGTTTAGATTGATAACATCTTTCCAAATACAGACAGCATTGATGACGATGAAAAACTCAACCAGGATCGGAAAGTCAAGAGAGGCGTTACGACCACAAGCAACACAGTTGAAGATGTCAAAGCCTGTCATGATCACAAAGGCCAGGTAGGTGCTCATTACTCTGAAGTCTATTTGCAGATATTCAACATATAACGCAAGAAACAGAACCCAAATTTCCAAGACTAATGTCGAGTATTCGCTTCTGTAGGGTTCAAAGACTGAACTCGTGCTACACCAAAAGCATTCCCAACAGCCTGCTGCAGACTTTTATCGCACTCACTCAATAGTGAAGATCAGTCTGCTGGTCAGAATGGATAACTAACAAGGGACTCTGACAGGTAGTGAAACAGTCAGAAATCCATTGCCCACGAAGTGTGCAGAAGAGAAAATGGATGGAATCGACATACACAATAGTGACGGTTGAATGATATAAGGCGCCAGCCCCTCGAATGGAACTCAGATGGGAAAGAGCGAGTTGGCCGTCCGAGAGTGACACAGAGGAGACAGTATGACGGGGAAATGAAAGCCTACGAGTAATCGTGGCGTCAGTTGGAAAGGACTGCAAAGGACAGGATGAAGTGGAGATATGCTACTGAGACGCTATACTCCGCTAGAAACCTGAGGCACTAATAAAAATTGTCGGGTGAGTGAGAATATTTTCTATTGTTCGCCCAAAGCGTTATTTATGTTGGGGATTAAGAATACAAAACAAGTAACTTCTATTAGGCTATTCATGTATTTTAATCATGTATTTTTGTGAATTGCAGTCAATGGTGGAACGACTGCTGAAATACATCGTGTACTGATTTTCCTAACCTCGACAAAGTTTCTACACCACATCTGTCTGAAAAGAACAAAGCATTGCATCCAGTCCCACTGCCAGTCTTTCAAGTCAAAATGATACGATGACTTCAAACAATTCTCAACAAATCAGAAAATGAAACGAAATTGTGGCGAAAGTAACACATAGATTACTGATTAGGAAAGTAAAATTATATCAAATAATCGCACTTCGTATCACTATAAACATACCTCTAATTCCTACAAGTCAAGTCATCGTTTAATACAAATTAACATCCAACAAAATATATAGCCTAATAGAATATGTTTATATATATTGGAATATAGTTTCGCTGACTTTCATTTCCCAAGCCCACGGAGTCTTAGGAAAAGCATTCGCCAATGATGAGGAAGGTGGTGGACAACACAACGAAATGTCGGTATTTTCTACGTATCAAGTAAACTTCATATTCTCAGTAAATCTCAAGTCCATACTACATTACGCCAGTGAAATATTCAACACACATATTCCAGTCTTCTGTCAACATATGTAAGAGTGGCGAACTCATAACATCAACACCACTGGCACAACGCACTTGATTCAGAAGCAGTACAATGCGAAATTTCGTTTTGTGACAAACCTAGTAGTTCAGACTGAGGAGACTCGATAATTCACCAGTTAAACTACCATCTGCTAAGGTCATGCACAGACAACACTGAATGTACTCTCAACGTCTTTTCAGCTGTAAATGTTTATGCTAACCAGTAGTAGAAAACTCAGCGGTATTTAAAGAATTCACAATTCTCAGTGAGATGCTTCTTCTGGTTAATCCACGTGATTGACATATGACTGTGTGGTGAACATACTGTCATTGTCAGCGGATACTGGCAAATGTTACCTTTTATCTAGTTTGATTTAAAATCAATAAATCTTTCACACTTGCCTCCCGTTCTGCCTTCTCAAGTCTCTAGCACAGAGTAAATGCGTCGCTCCTATCATAAAGTTAATTTTTATTGCTTTTACGCATCTGATACTGATGTGTCCTATTTGCAAACGTGTGATTAGATTTCGACCAGGGGATACACTGTACCCATGTTTGCATCACATACAACAAATTGCACCTCTCTTCCACGTGTGAATCTAATCAAATTCTATACCTTTACACAGTGCATTTGGAAATATTCATACATATATATACCCTGAAGTATGGTGACCAACAAATTGGAGTGTTCAATCGAAATTTCGAAATTTAAATCACCGGTTTCTCAAATAAAGATTCCGCTAAATGATTGGGATGTTGAATACTCACGGCGTTGCTCCAATCCTTCAAGAGAATTCCATTTCCAAAAGTAAATGGTGTATAAGTACAATAAAAAAATAACAACGCAACCAAAGAAATGCAAATGATTAAATATTCATGATAATCACGAATCCTATACATCAGGGAGCAATCAAGTAACACAAAAGATACAATTTTATCTCAAACCTATTCTATCAGTAATACAAGGCAATATGGTAGTACTGAATACTTCCATGTGTATTCGAAACAGAGACCAATTCTACTGGCTAACGGACATCCATTACACTATGACTGGGAACATTCCAACATCAGAATGACAGAAATTCAGCGTCATCTGGATTTTGATGTCTGACAAGCAAGTCAGTGCATTCGTGCACCTGTCCTAGATCTCCACACCGAATAGAGAAATTGTACGAAAAATACGTGAATAACACCAGAGTCGGTAAATATGAACACTCGGTAATCCATGTCTGCATCTACATCCGGACTCAGATGATGACCTCACACAATTTCAGTAAAAGTAAACAGAAAACATGGCAATTCTGAATAATCGTTGAGCAAACCTCCAAGTGGCCCCGCCTTTGTTCACCTCAAATCGGCAAAGACATTCAACGATACTCACGGTGAAAACTCGAATTCTCCGATTTACAAAAATACTCACCTTTATCATCCTCTTTAAAAAAGACAGGCACCAGTTGAAGTACGCATTTAGAATTAGAACATTATGAGATTCATAGAAAAGCATGTAGTTCTCATGGAGTTATGTGGCTTCACTGGGATTAGAAAAACGGCTTCATCTGCAACCGAAGATCCGTTGAGAGTGTATCCTGAACACTTCGTTCTACTGAAATCTCAATTCTCAGACTTCATTGAAAATGAGAACTGAATTCTTATCATCTTCAAAGAGATTTCAGATTTCTGTGACTGCCTGACAAGTCAACAGTTCTCACATCCACAAAATGAAGGCTCATTTGAAATTGAAACGCTGCTAATAAATGTGTTACATCAACAGCTGTTATTTCAACGGTAGACGATCACAATGCGACTAATTACTAGGCTCAATGCACCCTATAATCTGAATATGGATCTGAGAACACCACTGGAAATCTGTCTGTCGGGTAGAGGTGGCTAACTCAGCCAATGTGTAGGTTATGTATGCTAAAACCTCGAATAGTAGTTCGAACGAGTGAACATCACTTCCATTCGACGAAATCACGAACTTCGTTTTCCCAATTGACTCATCACATATTCCATACTCCTTCAAGTGTGTGAACTACCGCGCTTCAGACGCATAATGAAATACTAGTCTCTATCGATATTCACGGAGATATCTGGAAATCGAATATGTTTGATGAAGTAGAGGTTGGCAGAATATGTGGAATGAACAACAGGAATTGCAGGTAGTTTTCACTTTTAATTATTTTCAGCTTACTTTTTGCATATGGAACATCTTGATGAGGAAATAAAAATATTCATTAGATAAATTACATGACGAGTGATAGACGTTATATACAGAGTAAGTCTGAATGGTGCGAGGAACACTAGGTTTCGACACTTATGCATGGCGTTTGTTAAGTCTTCATATTCTAGCATGATCCTCATCTCGCTTCTACTTGTACGCTTCTACTTTTAGCAACTATTTAAGTATCATCACTCTCACTTCTCCCTTCTGTGCATCTTATCAAGATATCCTACTCACCTTCTTCGCACTTTCTAAATGACCATTCAATCAATGTGATTCTCATCTAGTAACAACTTCTTACTTTATCAAATTTCACAAAATTCTGGCTGGTAAGTCACACTAGTATCTCCATCCTCAACAACTCACAGATACTATTCCATATGAGTTTATAATCGCTGACATGAAAATTCTATCGTAAATATGATTGATGCAGGGTGTATAAACCTTCACTAATATGCATCCATCCGGTTCCTACAAACACACTGAATGACAACCGTATGTCAGTATGACCAGAAGCATGTGGTCGAGCCTATGACAGTGCAGAGTACAAATGACCCTCATCATGATGCATCTGAGATGTAACCATTCAGCCTCCTGTCCACCTGTTTCTATCAAATATCACCGGTCTCCATGCCCACAGGGCTGGACACAATAGATATGATATCTCAAACAGAAAGCAGTTGTGTCTCGAATCAAGTACAATGTGTCTGTTGAATACATAACTCAATGTGAAAGTCTGTCAGTCTATATTGAAATTTCTCTGTCATCGGACTCCACTGTATTAAGTATCCTAAACGCGATCGATTTAATTGTAAACTTACGTTGAGAGTTTTTGACAGCTGTGTGGAAAGTATAAATAAATACTTTAAGTGGACTGTGCATTTCGGCTCGATTATATGAAAATCTACAAGTTGATTGTCATAAGGTTGAATATCAATTACTCTCACTCTCCTGGAACAAAATGGCAGGGTAGAACTACCACTGTAAGTAGTTGACGTTGGGGACCCACTGGTAATGAATCAAGACAACAGCGCCATTATGCTCCATAAAAGATTCGTTTTGACTAAGGAGACACACAGCAACGCAGCATTGATTGTCATCTGATGACCTGCTGGGCAAAAGTGACTGCTCATAATCACATCAAGTTCTCCTTTGTATGAAATCATATTCAACTACATTGCCGAAATTCTTCGCTTATATCAAGGATTTTAGGCGTGTTTCACATAAATGGATTGACAATATTTGTAAATTCGTCATCTGGTCTCAGTGACCAGTTTGATGATACGGTAATGCAGTTGTTGTGCACACAGAATTCTACACATTCTGGAAACGACAAGAAGCGAATGTCTTTCATCCCTTCGTCAAAGTCTACGCTTCATCCAGTCATATCAATGTGGTTGAGTCAACCTTGCGTCACTCTGCGTAGTCATTGGTGAGATGCACGATAGTATGGCATTATGGAATTAATTAGTAATAAGCAGTCTGTATCAGTTTTGCAGTTCCATCACAATACATTCATTGTGAACAACTGTTTTCTTTTCTCAGGTGGCGTTCAACTGACCTGGGAGTGTTTCGACACAAACGGGGATTAGAGCAAACTGGTCTACAGCTAGACGACAAGTTCTATATCACCAACACTTCCATCAGCAGTCAACTATCCTAATTCACTTTTGACTTGAGTATTTTGGAATGTCACTGACGACTGAAGACAAACTTATCCTGCTACATACACGAAACAAGAAGCAGTACATTCACCTGAGTATGTGATAACTGAGTAGTGAGAATAGTGAGACAGACTGTCTTCGTTTGCATCACTTTGATGTACTACTTTAAATGTGACTGAACAATGGTTGGATTTGGAGTAGAAATGATCATCAGAAATAAACCTCCTCATCATCGGTTTCCAGTGGTAACATTTCCTGAATTTTCCTATCATATTTTACGTACACAGTGTTAGACTTTCCACAAATACTCAATATTAATAATGACTGACTTACCACCCTCTTCACTAAGAGCTTGAGCAGGAAATAAACAACAACATAACTGTTAACTACTAAGATCCTGTAACCAAATACTAAAACGATAATGCTACCTCTGTTAATGATGAAACGAACACTGAGTTTGCTCATTCTCAACACTGCTCTGTGACAAATCACATTCGGATTGGTTCCATCGCTTCAATTCACTGTCCTGACAACTGATTCAAGATCTAATCATCATTATCAACAGATTCATGTCGCTGTTAAAATTCACAATGACTGTCTCTGTGTGAAAAATCAATAGTGATGTGTAGGATGCATGTATGTTGCTAAGTCCGCAGCCAGTAGGTGATTTCAAAATCCTACTGGGTGATAACAGAGCCAAACTGGGAGATAGATTTCATCTCAGTCATATGGCGACTGAGTTGGCCGTGCTTCATCCCACCCACTTATTCTTGTTGAGAAACACAGTAGTATGAAGAAGTGAGTTCTCTATACACAGTCTGCATCCATCTCTTGTCATTCCATCTCAAAACATCCACCGTCGTCTGTGATTTCGTTTCTCCACAGAATGTTGTAGCCAGTCTGAGAGTACTTCGACGCAGCTCAGTTAGAAATGTCGGCTCTCCGACCTGATTTCTTACAAGTCAGTGATGGGAATAAAGCGGCTATTATTAGAATTATTATTATTTTTCGAATTCATTGTTGAGGAACACATGTCTCGTTGTCGCTCGTTAGAAATAAACACCTACATCATGCTCTGTACAGACGACGACAGGCACCACATCAACCAGAATATGTCTTGACTGAAGAACAATTCTAGTGAGACTTAGATTGTACCCATTTCCATTGGTTTGACTGACCGGTTGTCGTGTGAAGAAACGATGGTTGAAGATGAGATCGGAGTGACCGTTGAAAAGAAACCTCTTCATCTTCGATTTCCACTAGTGACATTCAATGCATATTTATACCGCATATTTCTTACACTGTGCTAGATGTCGCATAAACACCAAATATTAATGAGACTGCTTTATTTTCGATGACTTACCAGCCTCTCCAAATTCTAATGTAGTCACAAATGCAATCAAGTAATTAGGAAACACTGGGAAGATAGTCAACACATGTTGCTGGTGAAACCGACAGCGAATTGGTGATTCTCGAAATTTTTCAAAGAAATATCACCCTTTGTTATCTTCAACACTTAGTTTGCTGTTCTGACCGGGCAAAACGAGAAGTAGTCGTCAGTAACAGTGGATCGGTTTCACTGATATAGGATTAGGTCCTTGGACCTCAAACTTCCTGGCGACCCTTTCGCACAAACACCCAGTGAAGGTTGTATGCTGGTTGATTCCAGTGTTATGTCATGCGGAGAATAGTAAACACCTACTTGGCTACAAAATATTAACAATCTATCATCGAACTTTGTGTCACTCAGCATTCCAAGTTCTACTTCTATACTACGCAGCGTCTTCGACAGCCCTGCATTATCGCAAATTGCAGAATGTTTTGTGCTCAATGCCAGTTGACAACCACGGAACATATTTCATTCGAAATGTGGTAAAAAGTAACGAATGTGAGTGATAAATTTCACAACACCTATTGATAATAACATACCTGGTAAACGGCCTGTTAATTAATCAAAAACATTATTCAATGTCAAAACAGTTCAAATTGTAGGGAAGACTAAAACGCTTTCAAAGGGATTAGAGATTATTTCCTCCTAACAACAAATGAAATATGTGGTAACTCTCTAGTTTCTGTTGAGACTGTTCTTGACTACAATCATCGTATCCAAAATTGAACCTCACAATCGTAAGTCTGCTTTCATTTGTGATCACTGCGCTCAACTGACCAAAGATAACGTTTGATGAAGGCAATCGTGAGTGAAACTTTACTAAATGGCAGGCAACACTAACTGCTGGCTTACGTAACGCTTACTAGACTAAAGGTGGATATGAATATCTGTTTGAGACATTGGTTTTAAGGTGAATTCTCCTGCAGCTTTCAACTAGGCGACAGTGTCATTCACATGGTGGTTGGTCAGTTTGCAGTAGATGTGCAGCATCTGTCAGGATTATACTGAGATGTAATAGTCAGAAATGTCGAAGTCACGAATTACTGTGGAAGACTGAATTACTACAGGAAATTGAATTGTTATAGAGCGTGGTGTGAAACATTTCAAGAGAGCTGACTTATAACCACATTAAAAAAAGCCACCAACTGGCTGGTGGTCCTCAGGATTCCGTCTGAGCATCTTCAGAATACCTGCTTCACGCTTTGTCATAATTGTCAGTGTGAAAACTACGTTTCGGTAGAACGTGTTAGTCCGAAGTAGAATATACCTTTATTCACCTACATCTGTGTATGTGAGTATTTCTTCCGTTGTTCACCTATCCCATGGTGTATCAGAAAATTCCAATGGACAATATAGAACCAGCTGGTCAAACTGATAATTCCACTTGAGCGGAAATAACACAGACAATCAATCGTTTCATGAATGGCTTTGTTGACTGTGGATAAAATGTGTACAATGAATTTACCAGTCTTTCCCTCAGCCCGCATCCAACTAACACCCTATATCCACTAGATACATGCTAGTCATCACTTTTGAAATGCAAATCTCATCAAGTGTTCCAGTGGTGTATGGTTTGTCAATAAAGCCAATAGCCTCATGGACTACGGTTACTTCTGCGGTATGCAGTTGCGTACGTGTGTGTGTGCATCGTGTGACTGAGTGCAGTATGACTGCTGAAGATTTCAAGCAATTGAACTTTTCTACCCTTGGTGGAGCTTCGCACATATCTGTCTCAAAAGGAGTCATGACTTGCCATGGAGAACAGACCGGTGGATTCAGTTTCACTTTGAATCATAAAGCTGAAAAAGGTGTGACGTACTCAAACATTTCGCAAAAAGAAATAACGAGAATTGTGACGGAAACATGAATACGCAAAAGTTCAGGGGAGTGAAATTATAACAACACAGTTTCGAATTTCATATCAATAGAAACGTACTTTCAGTAATATCTACAAGTGACATAATGACTTAACACAGTTTAACATGGAACAGGAAATATTTCAGTCTACGGAATATATATACATATATATACCTAGATTGATGCATTTTGGATGACTCAGTCTCTGGAGTCTCATGATAAGCTCTAAACGTGATTATGGGGACGATGAACGACACCGAAACTTTGAGACTGTTGACATCTCACATCAAAATCCATGTATTCGGTATTTTTCAAGCCAATATATCATTATGCAGATGAAATATTCAACGTGTATTTCAGGCTCCTGCGTCGATGTGTAACACTTGGGAATTGAAGATGTAGACACCATGTGCACAACACACTGATATCACAAGCAATATTACACAAAATCTCGTCTCACAACAGACCTAGTTGTTCAGACGTCTTAGTCACTGAGATGAATTGATGATTTACGAGTTGAGTTACCAGCCGGCGAAGTCTCTCATCCTAGTTGTGCTCTCAATGTCCTTCCAACGATGTCTTTCTGGTTGGAAAACCCCCGTCTGGTGAATATGCTCTTGTTGTTGTTGATGATTTCAATGAGTACTGACAAAGTCAAATTCCCATCTATTCACAGTTTAGATTGTCAATTATTTCACACTTGACTTCCATTTGAGCTTGTCACGAATTTTACTCGTATTACACTCACTATTTTTATTGTTATTATGCGTTCAACACTCGCCTGATTCTTCACACACACACCCTTGGCAATCGACTTATTGCATTCTGAAGTCTTCCACGAACAATTCTGTGTGTGATTGGTCTCCGACCAAGTCAATCTCTCGTACCAACCTCAGTGTCATGTAAAACAATTTGCATTTCTAATTGGTCACTTCAAATTGTCACTGTCCATATTGCTCGCTTCACATTGAAGAGTAATATACATATTAGATACATTAAATTTACACATATATGTACAAAATACATACACGTGCATATAATATATGCATATATATATGTGTGAATATGTTGTATGTATAGTGATCAGGAATGCACAAATATTTATCAAGAAATTTCTTCAACGAGAAGTTTCCCTCAAATGAATCAGGTTGTCCAACACTTACCGAGCTGCTCCTTTTCTATAAAAATTCACATTTACAGAATATATTTTGTATTAGTGCAATGAAATTACATCACCAGAACAGCAGTTAGAATATTTAATGAGTCATGATTTACGTGAATTCTACTCACTAGAATATAATCAGTTGACATTGGAAGCCTAGTTTTGCAGTGAACTCCGATACACTCCGATAGCTGAGTCTCGAGACCTAAGCTGAAGACCGTCGTCATAGTTATCCCTCAGAGTTGATTAGCTTTCAAATATTGCGCGTCCGAAATATCCCTAATCCATTCGAATTTCGTTATGTTATATTCGCGTGAATTTGCGCTTAGTGTTCTCATATTGGTAGTCAGTGACAATTCATGTCCTGTTGTAAACTTGTGTCTCAAGTAGCTGTGCGATATGGCGGCTATCAGTAACACAAGATGGCGTGGATTCAAATGATTCAAGCTCCATCAATTCGTTCCGTAAGTATTTCAAACAAACTCCGATATTCCTAACACACTCACACTGAATCCTGAATGTCCCAGAACAATCAATCATCGGAATGACATAAGTACACTACCATTCAAAATTTACGTGTGTCACCAGTACGTTAGTGTGGTGGCGCAAGAGTCGTTAACCTCTACACAGAACGGTAGAATAGTACACAGGAGACGTTCACTGTGAGTCTATGAGATACCACATCACTATTCCCATCACGATTCACACCGTGAACTCGCAAATACTCAATAAACGCAAATATGAATGATGACAATCCTGAATAATCGTTTAGTCAACACTCAGAAAATATCTGGGCCAGTGTTGACCTACACTCAACAGTGATATTTGACCATGCTCATCAACAGCATACACTCTCTGGTTTTTGTAGGAATACTCACCGTCATCTCCCATGCCTTGTAAAAGTAAGAAAATAGTTTGAAAATTCAATTAGAATAAGCTCATCATGCCATGACATCGACAGAAAAGCGTATGAACTCCATGAATTTGTTTGCCTCGAATGTACTTGAATGGATGGAAAGATTAGGCGAGAAGGACTCGATCTGCAAGAGCAGATAATTCACCAGTGCATGCTGTTTACCTCATTCCCCTAACATCCTACTTCTACGAATTCATTTTGAAAATCGTCTGTCTCACTTTCCTCAGCTTGACAGAGATTTCAGACTTCTGTGAGCGACTGACAAGTCAGCCATTCTCACATACACAAATTGCAAACTCACATGAAATTTAAACAGTGACATCAAATGTGTTGTCTTGACAGTTGTAATTTTGAATGATGAAGCGAAGCAATGCGCCTAGATAATGGGGACACTGTAATCAGTACTAATACGATTGTTGGTCTCACAATACCAATAAAAACTGTGTCTGTTACATAAGGCAGACAAGCAGTTGCCGTGTTCTAGCCACAGAATGATTAAATCTCAAACAGCCGTTCGAACATGTGAGTAGATATCGAACGTCGATTTGATTTGACGAAATGAAGAAATTCATTGACGTGCATCACTCAACACATGATGTGTGCTACCACGTGAATTTGAGATGCATGACAGTTGACTGTCTGTCATTATTCAGGAAGTTATCTGAGAATTTATTGTGTACATTCACGTGAATGTCAGAGTGAAAATCGATCTTGTGAGACATAGACTATCTATCTATTTTACAGGACAAAATGGAGTTCAAGTAGTAATTTTTAATTTTCCAACTTACCCGTTCCTGGTTGAACAGCTTGATGAGGATAAGCAAATAATCAATATTAATTTAGTTAATTTATTCTACATGAGTGTTGAGAAAAAAGGGAACTCAAATCAACTATTAGTAAAAACTAAAAAGGAAAGTATTGCCAAATGAGTCCCACCAGCAACTACAACAATTTCGAGATGCTGTCGGATGCATGTTTATGTGGGCCAGTATGAGAGTTACTCTGTAATACAGTGGAGACAAAGAATAGAAGCTCCCACTGATTGATCTATCCAGCTCCTTTGAATACGACGACTGCAAGCTAGTTGTCGATATATCTGCGAGTATGAAACAAATCACAGAGTAGAATGCAGAGTTCAACTGGCCCCCTTCTCCATGCATCTGAAATGTAAACATTCAGCATCCTATTCATCTGATTCCATCAAATAACACTGACTCCAATGTGTCGACAACATCCAACACAACACATATGATGACATGTCAAATCGATATGAATTGTGTGTCACATGGAGTACGAAGCGTCTATTGAATACATCAATTAACGTGAAAATCTATTGTTGGAAATCGGAATTCCACGTTGATTGCTCACCTTCCTGTTAAATACGATGTACATATATGCAATCGATTCATTTTAAACTCACATCCACTCTCCTTGACCGCTGTGGAAATAGTTTCAAAAGATATCGTCAGTGCACTGTACACACATCAACTTGTTTTTGGAGATAGCTAGAATTAGATAGGCGAAGGATTAAATATTGACTAATCTCACTCATCCTCCATGAATAAATTTGAACAGTGAGTGGAAGTGGCCAAAGTTAACGGAACACTCATAGTCAGTCAGTCAGCCTTACCAAATTAAGTTGTTGGACTCCATAATGGAGTAATTTTGTCGGAAAATCACAAACACACACCCGCATCGATGTGGTATTATTTACTTGGTGGTTAGCCGCGTGACTAGCACATTTCAGTGGTCATAATCACACCAAGATCAACTTGATAGGCAGTTATATTCTACCCGATTTGCGAAATGCTTTTCTGATATAGAAGTGTTAGGCATCTGACACGAGTGGAGTAACAGTATTTGTGCATTCGTCATAAAGTTTCATTGACCAGTCTGACGAGTCATCGGTGCAGTCGGTGTACAGGTGGTACAGAATGATACAGGTTTGAAGTGACGACGGGTGCATGAAATTCACCCATTCATGAAATGCTGTGCACCTGCCAGTCGTATGAAGACTGACCCTGTATTGCATCACCCCGCCCGCCTCTTCTTGTTGAGATGCACGGTAGGATGAAGAGGTGAGTTCGCAATATCATAGTGTCGGCATCCATCTCTTGTCATTCCATCTCAAAACATCCATCGTCCTCTGTGATTTCGCATCTCCACGGTATCTTGAAACCAGTCTTAGGTTACTTTGACACAGTTCAGTTAGCAATCTTCTCCAACCGACCTGATTTTTTATAAGTCAGTGATTGGAATAAAGTGGCTATTATTAGCACTATTTTTATTATTTATCAAATTCAGTGTTAAGGAACACATGTCTCGTTGTCGCTCGTTAGAAATAAACACCTACATCATGCTCTGTACAGACGACGACAGGCATCAAATCAACCAAAATATGTCTTGACTGAAGAACAATACCAGTGAGACTTAAACCGTATCCATTTGCATTGGTTCGACTGACTAGTTGTCATATGAAGAAACGGTGGTTGAAGATGAGATCGGAGTGACCGTTGCAAAGAGACCTCTTCATCTCCGATTTCCAATAGTGACATTCAATGCATATGTATAAAAGATATTTCTTACACTCGGATAGCTGTTGCATAAACACCACGTATTACTGAGAATGTTTGATTTTCGCTGACTTACTTGGATCTGCAGATTGAAATGCAGTCACAAATGCAATCAAGTAATTAGAAAACACTGGGAAGACAATCAAAACATGTTGCTGCTGAAACCGACAGCGAATTGGTGATTCTCAAAACTGTTCAGGGAAATATAACTCATTGTTATGTTCAACACTCAGTTTACTGTTCTGACCGGGCAAAACGAGAAGTTGTCGTCAGTAACAGTGGATCGGTTTCACTGATATAGGATTAGGTCCTTGGACCTCAAAATTCGTGACGACTCTTTCGCACAAACACCCAGTGAAGGTTGTATGCTGGTTGATTCCAGTGTTATATCATGCGGAGAATAGTAAACACCTACTTGACTACAAAATATTAACAAACTATCACCCAACTTCGTGTCACTCAACATTCCACGTTTTACATCTCACTCCTCCTACTTCTATACTGTGCATTGTCTTCGACAGACCTGCATTATCACAAATTGCAGAATGTTGTATGCTGAATGCCAGTTGACAACCACGGAACACATTGCATTCGAAATGTGGAAATAGTAACAAAAGTGAGTATTAAGTTTCACAACACCTATTGATGATAACATACCTGGTAAACGTTCTGTTAAATAATCAAAAACATTATTCAACGTCAAAACAGTACTAATTGTAGGGAGGACTAAATCGCTTTCAAAATGATTAGAGATTATTTCCTCCTCACACCAAATGAAAGGTGTGGTAACCCTCTAGTTACTAGTGAGACTGTTCTTGACTATAGTCATCGTATCCAAAATTGAACCTCACAATCGTCATTCTGCTTTCATGTGTTATCACTGTGCTCAAATAACCAAAGATAAAGTTTGGTGAAGACATTCGTGAGTGAAACTTTACTAAATGGCAGGCAACACTAACTGCTGGTGTACGTAACGCCTACTAGACTACAGGTGGATATGAATATTTGTTTGAGAGATTGGTTTTAAGGTGAATTCTCCTGCAGCTTTCAACTAGGCGACACTGTCATTCACATGGTGGTTGGTCAGTTTGCAGTAGATGTGCAGCATCTGTCAGGATTACACCGACATGTAATAGTCAGAGATGTTGAAGTCAAGAAATACTGTGGACGCCTGATTACTGGCATACATCGTCAAGTATTTTCAAGAAGACATTCAAATTTATAGACAACTGTAGAGTGGTAGATAAAGGGTAGGAAATTGAATTGTTATGGAGCGTGGTGTGAAACATTTCAAGAGAACTGACTTATAACCACACTGAAAATAAGCCACCAAATGGCTGGTGGTCGTCAGGATTCTGTCTGAGCATCTTCAGAATACCTGCTTCACGCTTTGTCATAATTGTCGGTGTGAAAACCACGTTTCGGTAGAACCTGTTAGTCCGAAGTAAAATATACCTATACGCATCTACATCATCCTCTGTGTATGTGACTATTTCGTCTTTTGTTCACCTATCCCATGGTGTATCGGAATATTTCAATGGACAATAGAGAACCAGCTGGTCAAAGGGATAATTCCACTCGAGTGGAAATAACACAGACAATCATTCGTTTCATGAATGGCCTTGTTGACTGTGGATAAAATGTGTACAATGAAGTTACCAGTCTTTCCCTCAGACCTCATCCGACCAACAGCCTAAATCCACTAGATACCTGCTAAACATCACTTTTGAAATGCAAATCTCACCAAGTATTCTAGTAGCGTATGGTTTGTCGATAAAGCTAATAGCCTCATGGACTACGGTCACTTCTGCCGTATGCAGTTGTGTGTGTGCGTCGTGTGACTGAGTGCAGTATGACTGCTGAAGATTTCAAGCAATTCGACTCTCCTACCCTTGGTGAAGCTTCACACCATATCTGTCTGAAAAGGATTCATGACTTGCTATGCAGAACAGACCGGTGGATTCAGTTTCACTTCGAATCATAAAGCTGAATGAGGTGTGACGTACTCAAACATTTCACAAAAGGAAATGAGGAGAATTGTGACGGAAACATGAATACGCAAAAGTTCAGCGGGGGTGAAATTATAATAACACTGATAACATCGCATTTCATATCAGTAGAAACGTACGGTCAGTAATATCTACAATTGACATAATGATTTAACACAGTTTAACATGGAACCGGAAATATTTCAGTCTACGGAATATACATATACCTAGATTAACGAATTTTGGATGACTTAGTCTGTGGAGTCGCATGGAAAGCTCTCAGCGATGATTATCAGATCGATGAACGACACCGAAACTTTGCGACTGTTGACATCTCACATCAAACTTCATGTATTTGGTCTTTTTCAAGCCAATATATCCCTACGCAGGTGAAATATTCGACGTGTTTTTCAGTCTTCTGTGTCGATATGTAACACTTGGGAATTGAAGATGTAGACAACATGTGCCCAACACACTTCTATCACAGGCAATATTACACAAAATCTCGTCTTGCAATACGCCTAGTCGTTCAGACGTCTTACTCACTGAGATGAATTGATGATTTACGAGTTCAGTTATCACCTGGCTACGTCTCTCATCCTATTTGTACTCTCGATGTCCTTCCAACGACGTCCTTCTGGTTGAAAAACCCCAATCTGATGAATATGCTCTTGTTGTTGTTGTTGATGTTTTCAGTGAATACTGACAAAGTCAAATTCCCATCTATTTAGAGTTTAAATTGTCAATCCTTTCACACTTGACTTCCATTTGAGCTTATCTTACCTGTTACTCGTATTACACTCACTATTTTTATTGTTATTATGCGTTCAACACTCGCCGGATTCTTCACACACACACCCTTGGCAATTGACTTATTGCATTCTGAAGTCTCCACGAACAAATATGTGTGAATCGACTCCGACCAAGTCAATCTCCCGTACCAACCGTAGTGTCATGTAAAACAATTTGCATTTCTAATTGGTCACTTCAAATTGTCACTGTCCATATTGCTCGTTTCACATTGAAGAGTAATATACATGTATTAGATACACTATATATACACATATATGTACAAAATATATACACATACATATAATATATTTATATGTATATATATATATGCATATGTTGTATGTGTGGTGATCAGGAATGCACAAATATTTAGCAAGAAATTTCTTCAACTAAAACTTTCCTTCAAATAAATCAGGTTGTCCAACACTTACCGAGCTGCTCCTTTTCTATTAAAATTCCCATTTACAGAATATATTTTGTATTAGTGCAATGAAATTACATCACCAGAACAGCAGTTAGAATATTTAATGAGTCATGATTTACGTGAATTCTACTTACTAGAATATCATCAGTTGACATTGGGAGCCTAGTTTTGCAGTGAACTCCGATACACTCCGATAGCTGAGTCTCGAGATCTAAGCTGAAGACCATCTTCATAGTTATCCCTCAGAATGGATTAGGACTCAAATATTGCGCTTGCGAAATAGCCCTAGTCTATTCGAATTTCGTTATGTTACACTCGATCTGAATTTGCCCTTAGTGTTCGCATATTGGTAGTCGGTGACGATCCATGTCCTGTTGTGAACTTATGTCTCAAGTAGCTGTGCGATATGGCGACTATCAGTAACACAAGATGGCGTGGATTCAAATGATTCAAGCGCCATCATTTCGTTCCCTAAGTATTTTAAACAAACAGCGATATTCCTAACACACTCACGCTGAATGCTGAGTGTCCCAGAACAATCCATCATCCGAATGACAGAAATACATTTCCATTCAGTATTTATGTGTGTCACCAGTACGTTGGTGTAGTGGCGCAAGTGTTGTAGACCTCTACACAGAACAGCAGAATAGTACACGAGAGACATGAATAGCTCCAGAGTCGTTAACCGTGAATACATGAGATACCGCCTTCACAACCTGGACAGACAAATCCTCAATAAACGCAAATATGAATGACGACAATCCTGAATAATCGTTTAGTCAACAATCAGAAAATATCTGAGCCAGTGTTGACCTACACTCAACAGTGATATTTGACGATGCTCATCAACAGCATACACTCTCTGGTTTTTGTAGGAATACTCACCGTCTCCAACGCCTTGTAAAAGTAAGAAAATAGTTTAAAAATGCAATTAGAATTAGTCCATCATGTCATGACATCGACAGAAAAGCGTATGGCCTGCATGAATATTTTTTGCCTTGAATGTGCTTGAATGGATGGAGAGATTAGGCGAGTATGACTCGATCTGCAAGAGCAGATCCACCACCAGTGCATGCTAGTCATCTCATTCCCCTAACATCCCACTTCTACGAATTCATTTTGAAACATGCCCGCCTCACTTCTCTCAGCTTGACAGAGATTTCAGACTTCTGTGAGTGACTGACAAGTCAGCCATTCTCACATACACAAATCGCAAACTCACTTGAAATTTAAACAGTGACATCAAATGTGTTGTCTTGACAGTTGTAATTTTGAATGATGAAGCGAAGCAATGCGCCTCGATAATGGGGACACAATAATCAGTAGTAATACAATTGTTGATCTCCCAATACCAATGAAAGTGTGTCTGTTGCATAAGACAGAAAAGCAGTAGCCGTGTTCTAGCCAAAGGATGATTAAATCTCAAACAGCCGTTTGAACTAGTGAATAGTTATCGAATTTGATTTGACGAAATGAGGAAATCTACTGTCCTGCATCACTCAACACATGATGTGTGCTCTCACGTGAATTTCAGATGCATGATAGTTGACTGTCTGTCATTATTCAGGAAGTTATCTGAGAATTTATTGTGTACACTGACGTGAATGTCAGAGTGAAAATCGAACTCGTGAGACATAGACTATCTATCTATTTTACAGGACAAAATGGAGTTCAAGTAATTTTTAATTTTTTAATTTTCCAACTTACCCGTTCCTGGTTGAACAGCTTGATGAGGATAAGCAAATAATCAACATTATCAAGTTGGTTAATTTACACAATATGAGTGTTAGGAAGGAGACTGATTTAATTTGTGACCACTCTTCAGAACGCAAATCACTCATTAGTAATAACTGAAAATGAAAGCATTGTCACATAAGTCACACCAGCATCTACAACAATTTCGAGATGCTATTGGATATATGTTTATGTGAGCCAGTATAGCAGTTACTCTGTAAGACAGTGGAAACAAAGCATATATGTTCTCTCTGATTGATCTATCCAGCTCCTTTGAATACGACGACTGCAAGCTAGTTGTCGATATATCTGCGAGCATGTAACAAATCACAGAGTAGAATGCAGAGTTCAACTGGCCCCCTTCTCCATGCATCTGAAATGTAGGCATTCAGCCTCCTTTTCACCTAAATCTATCAAATAACACTGACTCCCCTGTTGACAACACTCTCGAATCGATATGAACTGTGTGTCACATGCAGTACGAAGTGTCTATTGAATACATCAATTAACGTGAAATCCTGTTGTTGGAAATCGGAATTCCACGTTGATTGCCCACCCTCCTGTTAAATACAATCTACATATATGCAATCGATTCATTTTAAACTCACATCCACTCTCCTTGACCGCTGTGGAAATAGTTACAAAAGATATCGTCAGTGAACTGTACACACGTCAACTTATTTTTGGAGAAGGCTAGAGATAGATTGGCAAAGAATTATATATCGACTAATCTCACTCATCCTCCGTGAATAAATTTGAACAGCGAGTGGAGGTGTCTAACGTTAACGGAACACTCATAATCAGTCAGTCAGTCAGCCACACAAACGCATCGACGCGGTATTATTTATTTGGTGATGACCCGCGTAACTAGCACATTTCAGTGGTCATAATCACACCAAGATCAACTCGACATGCAGTTATATTCTAACAGAGTGGCGAAATGCAACTCTGATATCAAAAGTGTTAGGCATTTGACACGAGTGGAGTAACAGTATTTGTGCATTCGTCATATAGTTTCGTTGACCAGTTTGACTACACATCGATGCAGTTGGTGTATAGGTGGTACAGAATGACACACGTGTGAAGTGAAAATGTGTGCATGAAATTCACGCCTTCGTCAAAATCTGTGCAGCTGCCAGTCATATGATGATGGAGCTGTCCTAGCATCACAACCCGTGCACTTATTCTTGGTGAGAAGCACGGTAGGATGAAGAGGTGAGTTCGCAATATAATAGTGTCGTCATCCATCTCTTGTCATTCCATCTCAAAACATCCATCGTCGTCTGTGAATCAGTTTCTCCACAGAATGTTGTAGCCAGTCTGTGATTACTTTGACACAGGTCAGTTAGAAATGTTGGCTCACCAACCTGATTTGTTAGAAGTCAGTGATCCGAATAAAGTGGCTATTATTAGCACTATTTTTATTATTTTTCAAATTCAGTGTTGAGGAACACATGTCTCGTTGTCGCTCGTTAGAAATAAACACCGACATCATGCTCTGTATAGATGTTGACAGGCACCACATCAACCAGAATATGTTTTGACTGAAGAACAATTCTAGTGAGACTGGTATTGCGTCGATTTCCATTGGTTCGACTGACTAGTTCTCATGTGAAGAAACGGTAGTTGAAGATGAGATCGGAGTGACCGCTGTAAAGAAACCTCTTCATCTCTGATTTCCACTAGTGACATTCAATACAAATGTGTAAACGATATTTCTTACACTCGGATAGATGTCGCATAAACACCAGGTATTATTGAGAATGTTTGATTTTCGCTGACTTACTTGGGTCTGCAGATTCAAATGGAGTCACAAATGCAATCAAGTAATTAGGAAACACTGGGAAGACAATCAAAACATGTTGCTGGTGAAACCGACAGCGAATTTAGTTATTCTCTTAAGCATTCGGAGTTATGTCACTCTTATTTCTGTGCAACGTTTTGTTTAGTTTTGCAACAGGTGTAACACGCATTGATTATCCTGAGCTTTGCATTATCATTATTTTTTAAATTCTATGTCAGGCTGTTTCTGTCTTTTTGTGCCTAATATAAGAACAACTTTGTCATGTTCTCTGGTTGAGGCAACAAGCAGAAAATAACCTGAATATTTACTGACTGTGTCACAGTAACACTGGAACTGATGATGTCCACAGCTCCTATAGTGTGAATGACTGATTTGAGTGTATCAAGTTTGTCCACTGACTGATATCAGTTTGGGAACCATTGAAACCAGCACTGAGTCCTGGTCATCTATTGCCTTCTAGTCTGAGACTTATGGGCAGTACGCACTTTCCGAGTTACCAACCGAAACCCCTTTGGCTGCAAGGCAAGCTCGTAGACCATCCAGCCACTGGAACCTGACTATCCAATGGCTAGCACATGAATTGAAAATTTTACCAATTCTTGATTTTAGCGCGACCACTTCTAACCAGTGTCATCTTTCTTGAGTATTCGACCCAACTGTTGACCGGATGGACTTCATGTGTCAAGACTTCTCACTGGAACCACAGTATACTTCGTCTGATAGCAAGTTACTGGCGATCCTTTAGACGGGGTGGTGCTGGGTTCAAACCCTAATGCATGCGTACGGACAATGAGTGGCAAAATAGGAGGAAACAACTGTCCAGTACTCTGTGCTAGTTTTCAGGGGTCCTCTAAATGTTCTTAATCGTCGCCAAACTTGAAACTAATCAAATCCCTACAGAATAACGATGAAAATTAAATTCGGTGCAATGAAATGATGGCTGAAGTTCAGTTTGATATGACCGTCGCAAAGAAACCTCTTCATCTTCAGTTTCCACTAGTGACATTCAATGCATATTTATACCAGATATTTCTGACACTCTGATTGATGTCGCATAACCACCAAATATTAATGAGAATGCTTGATTTTCAATGACTTACCAGGCTTTGGAGATTCTAATGTAGTCACAAATGCAATTATGTAATTAGGAAACACTGGGAAGACAGTCAACACATGTTGCTGGTGAAAACGAGTGGGAATCTAGTCATTTTGGAAACCGTTCAAGGATATATCACTCATTATCATCTTCAACATTAGGTTAACAGTTCTGACAGGGTGAGACAAGTAGCAGTCATCATTAATAGTGGACCAGTTTCAGTGACTTAGCACTTGATCCTTGGTGCCGAAATTCACGATGACTCTTTCGCATAAACACCCAGTGAAGGGTGTGTATGTTTGTGGATCCCAATGTTATATCATGGGGAAAACAGAAGAAACGTACTTGACGATAACTTATTAACAAACTATCACCCAGCTTCGTGTCACTCAACATTCCATGTTGTACGTCTCACTCCTCCTACTTCTATCCTACGCAGTGTCTTCGACAGACCTGCATTCCCACAAATTGCAGAATGTTGTATTCTGAATGCAAGTTGACAACCACGGAACATGTTGCATTCGAAATGTGGAAATAGTAACAAAAGTGAGTATTAAATTTCACAACACATTTTCACAACAACTTACTTGTAAACCACCCTGTAAATTATTTGAAAGTTATCCAATGTCAGTACAGTGCTGATTTTGATGAAAAACAAAACGTTTCCAAACAGAATTACAACTATTTCGTCTGCCTATTGAATGCATTTTCGTCAACACTTTACTGCAGCCAGAAATACCGTATCAGTTTGTGTTGGTGATAATTTTTTTTCATCCGAATTTGAACCTCACACATGGTACTGTTTACACCAGTTTTCCACTTCAATGGGTTAACACTGTGCCAAACTGACCAATGATAAATTTCGGTGGAACCAATTTGTGAATATATTTCACCTAATTGTGTGTCCATCATTGTGACCAAAATACTACACAGATCACTTGAAGTCGAATGCTGGTACAAATAATTCACAGTAGATATGCATTTTAAAGTGCTTTAACTGACAGCTTTCAACTAGGAGACACTGTCATTCACATGGTGATTGGTAAACTTGCAATAAAGGTGTTGCAATTTCTGTTAAGGCTGTACTAAGATAATGGTCAGACCATTTTGAAGTCACCAAGTTTTGTGCATGCTTGGTAATTGGCAGAAATCGTTAATTATTCTCAACAACAGTACTGAATTCGAACCCCTGCGGGGGGTGCGTGCTGATGAAGAGTCACAAACTAGGACGTACGAAACAGCTCTCGGGGTACTGCCAGCTGGTTTTCCAAATGGTTCTTTAACCGATTTCAGCTCATGATGAAATCCTGTAACCAATCAATCATATCCTTACAAATTGATACTTGAGTTCTAAGATTATTTTTTTAAAATGTGTCAAACTTTGCATCATATATTACTTACTATGTAAAAAACCTTTCATGATTAAAGAAAAATTCATTAAGATATATACATGTTAATATAGGAAACCAATTAAAGATCATGAAATGCATATCATTTTACTCTTTACTGTTCCACCTGATCGAGTACTCACATGTGAGTTAATGGAATACACGGAAAGCCTAAAGTTCTAAATGGTATTTGCCATTATTCTTTCACAAACAGTGATTTTGTTCTCTTCAGTCACAGCGAAAAATGTCGACAGTTATAAATTTCTCTACAACATTCTGTATACTGTCCGTCACATTGGTTGTAATTGTCCTACACTTATTTCTTAGGTGTAATTTTATGGTATTTTTGTAGTCTTCCTTTTGTTTTCATGTTTAATAAAACTTAATAAGACTTGTATTAGATGTTGACAATTCTGTTTAACTTTTACCTCAATCTAATACTTCATTGTGGATTTGTTCTTTTTCTCTGCTTTTCTTAGTGTTGTTTTCCTCAGCGGCTTTGAAAACATATGTATATTATTGTTATGCATAAGCTTCATTACAGTTCTCACTGCCCATACTTACACATCTGATGCTTCTTCGGTTACAACAGTCGTCATAAGCTCTCCTTGGGGTAATTTTAACTTTATATTAGGTGTATTATTTATGTCGAAGAGATACCTAATTCTGATAACCCTTTCCTGAGACAGTACTCCTCGAACCACACAAAACATCTTATGATAAACAATTTACTGCCGATATCTTCCTGTGTACTGTTTAATTTCTCAGTAATCAATATTTAAAATGTGGAAAGGTGGCATTACAACAATGAGGTAGTACAAAATACAATGGTAAAACAAACTCACTCGCTTGCAAAACGCTAATGCCACTGACTAACAGGAGGACGAAGAGAATTTGTTTCATTGTTGTTTCAGTAGATCCAAGTTAAAATGCATCATCTAGCCGATGTCCTATTTATAGTTTTTCTTAGGTGAGAAAATAACAACTTGCAGATTTTTGTACATGTTCTACTGTAAAAGTAAACATTTGGTGACACATTGTTGTCACATGTTTTGCAGTTTACGTGTATCACTTTCAATGTTTTGTTTACAACAAATTTGTTATCTATTGTAAATGAACATTTTTAATCGTCTTTAAGAGAGAGCTTTTGACGTTTGCAGTGAAAACAACAAATGACGTAGGCTGACAACTTACTTTGTTTTAGAAACAATTATAATTGTTAACTTGCATTAAAAATTTTACTATCATTTAATTAAACCATGCGTGGTAATAAATACATTTGGTTACAATGCTAGTGAAAACTCAATTCTGAGAAACATGTAAACTTACAAAATCTCATTTGAAAGAAAAGAAGGCGTTCAGCGAAGAGATAATTACGTAATATAAGTATTATTTGGCTTGGAAACAAACGTTAATTAGATAGAAAATAAAATAAAATTGATTAAGTGAATTGGATGACGTAATACAATTGAGTAGAATTCAGAGTAGGTCAGGTTGGCAACAGTGTTAATGAGTGGTGGTTAAAATTAAATAAGGGTGGGGATAGAGAATAATACAGTTGAAAATTAAGTAAGTTAATCGGGTGACGTAATATAGTTGACTAGAAATTGGACGTGGGTCGAGTTAGCAACATTGTTAATGAGGGTAGAGATTACAAAATGGTGGGGTAGAGAATAATACAAATGAAGATGTGAAGTAATAAAATGCAAAAGACAAAATAATACAATTAGTAAGACTGAAATTAAGAAAGATTGCGTCTGTTGTAGATTTAATGAATGAACGAATTTCTTTTGTATGCAGAGTTCAGGATTTAGCAGATGAATTGCCATTGCTTCTGCGATGTGGAGAAGTTTGATCCGTACACTTTTAGCAAGATTGCCTTGTATTCTGTAGATAACTTTGAAGTTTATTTGTGGTTTGACTTGGTGTCCTGAATCGATCAAATGTTCAAGGATCGAGCTGCGGGGGCATCGGTTTTCTCCTTTATAAAACCATGAAGGTAAATGTTCGTTGACGCGTTTGGATAGCGAACGCTGAGTACGGCCGATAAACCTGGCTCCACACGAGCAGGTGAATTGGTAGATGTACGTAGATGAGGCCAACAGCGGTAGCTTATCCTTCACGTTCATGCGAATCATTGGTCTCGTGGAGAACGTCAGTTGTAATTCAGATGCAAAGAAGGTTTTCTTCAATGAGTGGGAGAGCCGATTTCTCAGTATTTCTGTAGATTGGTCTCCATTGAACTGTAGGTTCATATGGAGAAGTCTTTTCGGAGCACTGGGTGTGAGCGGCTTCTCTGGTCTGGGTTTCATTGATTTTGTGATAAATCTTTCTGGATAGCCATTTTCAAGGAGGATTTTCTTAAGGGTGTTCATTTCATCTTCTATGGCGTCCAGGCTACAAATTCTACGTATTCTGTGGCTTAATGAACGGATTAGGTTTCGTTTAGTATTTGGAGGCACCCGACTGTGGAAGTTAGTGAGCTTTCCATTCCACGTTGGCTTTCTGTAGATGGATCTTTTTAATGTTCCGTCTTGCTGGTGTCTCGTTAGTTGAACGTCAAGAAAAGATATCTTTGAGTTAGACCCTTTCTCTAGTGTGAACTGAATCGCAGGGTGGCAGTTGTTGAAGAACTTCAAGATATCTTCTAAATTCTCTTCGTTGTTGGAGATGATGAAGGTGTCGTCAACGTATCACTTGTAGAGTTCAAAGTTGTCAATCACATTCTTCAGGCAAGTGTTTTCGAGTTTCGACATAAAGAAATCTCATTTCATTCGGTGTATGTAAAGGTAGGCTTAGTTAAGTGTCTAACAAACTGAGCAATAGCACTAAGTAGTACAACAAAGAAAACCTAAACGATGAAATGAAACAGATAGAAGAAGCACTAGTGGTAAATAACTATCCTATAAAATTCATTAGGAATATCAAAATGGGACAAAAGCAAAAGAAAAATAATGGTGAAACTGATAATGATAATATAAATAAAAAAGAATGTAAGGCATCTACAGTTTTACCATATAAGAAGGGGACATCTGAGACCCTCCCTTCATAGTATTCTCAATAAAGCAGGAATTAACGTGGTATTCAAACCTTCAAACTCACTCAGAGACAAGCTCTATAGGCTAAAGAACCCTGTTGACCCAATTAGACAAAATAAAACAATATAATTTACAAAATACCTTGCAATAACTGTGAGTGAGGTCAACTACACAGGTCAAACTAGCAGATCGGGGGTAGTCAGATTATCAGAACATAAGAATTTAGCTAAGGTTAGAATGATTGATCCCACTTGAGAAGATAAGTAATTTGGATAAAAGCTCAGCACTGCATCGCACTGCATGCATTAACACACAACCACAAAACAGGGTGGAGAGAGAAATTGATTACTAAATCTTGGTTCATTGAGTCTACACCCAACACATGCAACAGAAATGACTCAACGCAAATACCAGAGATATGGAAGATATGATTACCGCCAGTCAAATCAGAGGAGGATAATAATTAATGTCAAAATGTATTTCAATTCACATTATAACATTTTAAGGAGTTACTTATTCTGACTATAAAAAGCATCTTATTTCTCATTTTATTGTGTTTTAGTGACAACACTAATATTATTTCTGATTTTGTCAAAATAAAATATTATCAATAATGGAGTTATACTCTACCACAGTGGCCAAGTTTTATTCTTATATCAATATTATGAAGTCTTGGTTTCATGTAAAGAAAGGTGGATGGTACTTTAATACTTAGAAATGTAACAGAATAAAAGTGTAACGGTAGAAGATGAGAAATGGTAAAAGAACGCTTATTTTGGATTTTGTATCGTTATATATCGAAATTACGTACACCTTTATCTTCTCAAAGCACCATTTGCACAGATCTTCCGTGTTGTCCTACTTCTCGCCTTCATATTGTGTTTCTTGACGTTCCTTTCACGTATCCCATGTATCTCCACAACGCTGTATCATTTGCTTTCCCTGACATCAAATCTACCTATCTCCCTGCTATTTGATGCTTTCTGCCGATAAAAGTCTCTTTATATACTACTGGCAAATCCTGTCAGTAGCAAACATGAGTGTAGTTAGTACCATACAAATAGTCCCGTTGATAGTTCTAAGATAATTCGAAGTAAAAGCCTCTTACCTAAAGATATTTTGATGAAATTTCTGAAATATAAGTCAATACTTGACAAATTCCAAAATAAACCATATAAACAAATGGATGGAGTGGCAACGGGATCACCACTATCCTCAATAGTAGCAACCATACTTATTAAGAGTTGGGGACGGAAAGCTCTTTGAACATTTGATCCTACTTCTAGGTTATGGTGGATATATATGGATGACACATTCCGTCACTGTGTTGAAATCTGAACATATCCCACACCTCTTCAAGTATATAAACTCAATAGTAGACGGAACCGAATTCCCCATTGTTTTGGAAGGCGAAAAGAGTGCGTTGATAGTGCCAGAATGTAGAATAAAATGAAAACAAGATGGTAGGTAGTTAGAAACTAGCATTTATATGAAACCGACATAATCTAATAAATACTTAGACTTTAATTCATCCCACCTTGAATCGGTAGAGATAGGTTTATAGGATAAATAAGATTAGTAATGAAAATGACGAAAGTAATAAACAGTTCAAAGCCTCTGTAGTACTGCCGTATAAAGAAAGAACGTTGGAGACCTTACGTAGTATTCTCAGTGAGGCTAGAATTAGGGTGGCATTTAAACCAGCCAGCTGTCTCAGAGATAAACTTTGTCGGCTTGAGCACCCATCCGATAGATCTAATTAAGAAAAATGATATAATTTACCAAGTACTGTGTAATGACCGGGGATAAGGTCAATCACATAGGTCAAACTAGTAGATCAGAGTCAACTAGGTTATTGAAACATAAAAATTTAGCTAGACCTAGAATAATTGACCCTGTTAAGTTAAATAACTTAGAAAAAACAGAGTTCAGCAATTGCACTGCATTCACTTGCGTGTTATTACAAAATCGTGTGGGTTGAACAGGGTGAGAGT